ATCAAACTCAATGTTTTTTAATACGCTAGGGCAAGCACTCTAATGCTGGGCTATACTCCCAACTTCCTCCTATCTACTTCCAATGGTCTCCAGATCAGTGCACCCTAATATCATGTACATGCTGTGTGGGCAGCTGTCATGTGTCAGTTGTCATTGCATTCAGGAAGCAATGGCAAGGAGGTCGGCATGTGTTTAATACAGAAGCAACGACTGCATGCCCAACCACACAGCACGTCAGCAAGGACTGAGCTTTCCCCCAGGCATTTCCAATTTGCAGTTAGTTAACCCTGTGGGTAAATGCAGAAGCCATGGCTAGAGAGGGCAGACTGTGCACCAGGAAGGGAGAAATGGGAAACGGGGGAAGAGTAGCCTGTGGAGGGAAGAAGAAGGGCAACCCAGAGGGAGAGAGACCCAGAGCCAGAGCCAGAGCCAGAGCAAGAGGAGATATAACCCTAGGGATGTTTGGAAAAAAGGAAATCATATTATTTTACATCTTACAATTACACATGTAAGTATGTGTCTGTTCATGTGTATATAAATATGTGTATGTGTGTATATATATATGCATACACACACACACACACACACACACACACACACACACACACACATATATACATATATATGAGATGAAGTTATGTCACTTGGAATGACAATGCTCCCCCACTAAAGCCATAGACTATCTAATAAAAACCCACTGCCAGGCACACACAGAAAACTCCTTTCAAGTTATCTGTCAGGGGAGTCCCAGAGAACACAAAACAATATAGGTCAATGCCATGGCCTCAGATTCTGCCTCCCAGAGATGGAGAGTAGGTCCCTTCTGCTGAAGACACTACACACTTCAAACAGAACAATTGGAGAAATCAAGCTGGAACCAACCTGGAAGCCTCTTCCCTGAGGACAGGCTCTCACATTATCGGGAGGAGATAGACAAGTAGCCATGGGTGGAAAGCGACTAACAGTCTTACTTGGTAACTATGAGGCCTACAGACCACAACAACAATGGCAAGATATTCTGAAGGTGTAATAGTGGCACTTATATCCTGGGGTAACCAACAGCCATTTGGAATTAAGAGGAAGTCCAACAGGAAGAAATCCTAGCCCACTCCCTGTGGCTGATAAACCTAGCCCGCTCCCTGTGGCTGGTTAACCTAGCCCGCTCCCTGTGGCTGGTTAACCTAGCCCGCTCCCTGTGGCTGGTTAACCTAGCCCGCTCCCTGTGGCTGGTTAACCTAGCCCGCTCCCTGTGGCTGGTTAACCTAGCCCGCTCCCTGTGGCTGGTTAACCTAGCCCGCTCCCTGTGGCTGGTTAACCTAGCCCGCTCCCTGTGGCTGGTAAGGCCAATGACCCTTGAGGAGAACCTACTACCGCTGCTCTTTTAAACCAGCATCATTCTTAACTGCATTCTCAATACTTACCCTTCTACCCACAGGCAAGGGCAGCTCTCAGCCTTCATCAGAGAAGCCTCTTGGGGCAGCAGAGACCATCACAGAAAGTCACAATTGGTCGAAATGCATACATCGACAGCACAACCTCTACAACCCAAGGCTCAGAAAACAGCAGAAGAGGGGAAAGACTGCAAGAGCCAGGGGACCAGGGTGTCTGCTGCAGGTTCGCGTCTTCTCCATATGACAGGGAAGCTGCACTCTCAAGACCTAAAAACCGACACCAGTTGACATGGCAACATGGATGGGGAAATTCACAGGGTCTCCACATTAGATGAGGACCTATGGGTCATGGATTAGTTGCTGGGAGAGAAGGAATCAGTCTCTCCCAGAGGAGGGCCTCCTGATAGGTGATCTAGTGCCAACTGGTCAACCCTAAACACATAGCCATATGAGCAACACTAAATGAACCCAGTGGGTTGTATTTATAAATTTATGTGTGTGTGTGTGTGTGTGTGTGTGTGTGTGTGTGTGTGTGTGTGTGTGTGTATGAGAGAGAGAGAGAGAGAGAGAGAGAGAGAGAGAGAGAGAGAGAGAGAGAGAGAATTAAAGAGGATATGAATTTGAGAAGGAGTGGGGGGCATAGAAGGAGTTGGGAAATGATGTAAATAAATAAGCATATATGAAATTCACAAAAACTGTAAAAAAGAAATAGAGTTACCATTGTTTAAAAGTCTATGCTTTAGAGTCAGGCCAGGGGAACACACCTGTAACTCCAGCCTTAGGGAGCCTGAAGCAGGAAGTCTGGAAGTTCGAGGCGAGCTTAGACTATTCTAGTAAGCACTCAAACAAACAAACAAAAAACCGAGGAAGGTGGTGTAGTTGTAACGCGTTTGCCTGGTAAGTTCAGATCCTTAGAACTCAGGTGAAAACAGACCCTGTAACACTGGCCTGAAACCCCAGTGCTCCTACAGTGAGATGGGAGATGCAGACAGGAGAATCTCTGGAAGTTTGCAGGCCAGAGTGTTGTGCAGAAGTGGCCAAGAGGAGACCCTGCCACAAACAAGATAAAAGGCAGAGACTGGCACCCAAGATTGCCCTCTAACCTCCCCACATGTACACACACCAAACAGAAAAGACTCTATGGTCTAGAAGCAGCATGCACGCTTCTTTGCTGATACTCAAGCAAGACGGAGCAGCTGGTTTGATAACGGCTGTAATTTTCAAGTTTGGGGAACAATGTTTCAGACAGCTACACTCGGGTGCGCACTAACACTGCCGCACACCTTCACATGTGAAGGAAAATGCCTGTGAGTGAGAGGTGGGGTGGGGGGGTTGCTCTCAATAATGTCACAGAGCACTGCGAAATTTATCGGAAGAGCCCTGAGGGTCAAACACACCTGTAAGATGTTTCTGAACTTTCCCCAAGAGCAATCAGTTAAGACCATCCTAAAACTGGGATCTGGGGGCTGTAACAGACAGTTTCACCTGCAGGAGTTAGTCACGTGACCACATCTAAAAAAAAAAAAACGCAAACCTGTCCAACACACACAGTGGCCTGAGATAGTTTAGCAGAAGGCTGGGTTTTCTTTTGAGTTATGATTAGAATCTGTGGCTTTGGTTTTTGTGTGTTTTGTTTGTTAGTTGTTTTATTTATTTATTTTGTTTTGGTTTTGGTTTTTCGAGACAGGGTTTCTCTGTGTAGTTTTGGTGCCTGTTCTGGATCTCGATCTATAGACCAGGCTGGCCTCGAACTCAGAGATCCACCTGGCTCTGCCTCCCAAGTGCTGGGATTAAAGACATGCGCCACCACTGCCCAGCTTATTTTATTTTTTTAGATTAGGTTTTCTATATAGCCCAGGCTGGCCTTAAATTCATGATACTCCTGTGTCAGAATGTGTAGGTGTTATAGGGGTGTGCCACTGAACCCCACTTGTTTTCTGAAGCTTTGTTCTTTCCTTCCTTCCTTCTTTGGGGACGTGGTTGGGAGGGTCTCTTCTAACCTAGGCTGTTCTCAACTCCTGGAGTGATGGAAGAATCCTGAGCCCTGGCACTCTGACTGGACTTACTATTTAAAAAGATAAAAGAAGGGCCGGGCGGTGGTGGCGCACGCCTTTAATCCCAGCACTCGGGAGGCAGAGCCAGGCGGATCTCTGTGAGTTCGAGGCCAGCCTGGGCTACCAAGTGAGTCCCAGGAAAGGCGCAAAGCTACACGGAGAAACCCTGTCTCGAAAAACCAAAAAAAAAAAAAAAAAAAAAAAAAAGATAAAAGAAGGCAGAGAGGGAGGGGGGGGGAGGGAGGGAGAGGGGGTGGTGTTGGGGAGGATGAGGATGAGCGAACACCCACTGGAGAGGTATTCATACTCTCAAACTCTGTCATGAGCGTTCTTTTTGGTTTGGGTTTTTTTTGTTGGTGGTGGGTTTTTTTTGTTTTTGTTTTTTTGTTTTGCTTTTATGAGACAGGGTCTCGGTGTAGCCCAGGCTGGCCTAGAATTCATGATATAGCCCACACTAGTCCTGACCTGCCATATTCTCTCTGCTTTAGCATCCCAAGTGCTCAACTTTGAAAACATATGATCCAGGGCTGGGGAAATGGCTTGGCAGGTAAAGGTGCTTGCTGCCAAGCCTAAGGACTTGAGTTTGGTCCTTGTGACCCACACGGTAGAAGGAGAAAACTGACTCTTGCAAGTTGACCTTTGACCTGTACACATAAGTCACCAACACCATTCTTCAATCTTCTTAGCCTTTGAAACTGGCAGTCACTGCCACAAAAACAATTACCACCTGTTATTTCTTACACATGGGGCTTAGAAAGAAATGGATGAACTGGGTGTGGTTGAATAAGTCTGAAATCCTAGCACTTGGAAGGCTGAAACAGGAGGATTACCACAAGTTCAAGTTCAAGGCCAGCCCAGTCTACAGAATGAATTTCAAGATTGTAAAACTCTGTCTCAAAGAAAGTTGGGATACGCATGCAAGGAGTCCTGGGTTCATATCCTACATGAAATAAAGGCTACAATCTGTGTTTAGGAGTCAGGAGGTCCAAGAAGTTTAAAGTCATCTTTTGAGACATAGTGAATTCAAAGCCATCCTGAGCTACAGGAAATCTTGTCTCATTAGAAAGAAAAAAAAAATTGAATGAGTGAGAAACATTAAAAAAAAAAAAAAAATCTCAGAGCTGGGCAGTGGTGGCGCACGCCTTTAATCCCAGCACTTGGGAGGCAGAGGCAGGCGGATCTCTGTGAGTTCGAGGCCAGTTTGGGCTACAAAGTAAGTTCCAGAAAAGGCACAAAGCTACACAGAGAAACCCTGTCTTGGGAAAAAAAAAACCTCAGATTAACAGTAAATTCTAGAAACTGATTCAAAACTAAGTACATGTGGAAGGAAATTGGAGGGAGCCCTAAAAGGCCAGAGGTGGAGAGCGGCCGTGGAGGACAGGACGGGGCAGCATTCCTGAACAGGACAGAGCTCTGTGGAGGAATCTCCCCAGACCCCAGCAATGCCACACACAGAGCAGAGTCAAAGCTGTGTCTCCACCAGCTCGTGTCCTAGCAGGCTGTGCTGGCACCGCCTCCAGTATCCCCCCAGGCTCACAGTGGAGGAGGGACTCACCTGTAGGTGTACGGCCCCACTTCTTCTACTATGGGGATTTCTCCTCGGAGGATCTCCTCTGGATTGGTGACATTGAAGAAATAGAACTGGCTGTATACAGGTAGAGGGGGTTTCTCCCAGGAGTCAAAGACCTCGGTACCATTTCTCAACACCATATTCTGGGGAGAAAAAACAAAAACAAAAACAAAACTGGTTTACAAAAAGGCCACTGCTTCTGAACACAGGGCAGAAAGCGGGGCCTTCTCTATCCTGTAACTGGGCTTTGGGGGCAAAAGTTCAGGTCCCAGAAACCACAAGAAGCTGGGGGTGGCAACCTGTGCCAATCCATGAATTAAAGAGAAGAGTGACTGTAAAAAACAGAGAGCATTATCGATGCATTGAGAAGAATACATAAAGGAATCCTATGACTCCAAGTTCATCTTTGGGGTCTTGACAGAGCTGTCGAAGTGTGGAGTTTAGCTTGGCTTTAAGGCAGGGTTTCACTCTGAAGTCTAGGCTGGCCTGAAATTCATTATGTAGCCCTGGCTGGCCCTTTGAGGCAGTCCTCTTGTCTCAGCCTCCTAGGTGACTACAGACACGCACCATCATGCCTGGTGAACCTTAAGTTTAAACAGAGGGAGAATTAGCGTGGTTCTGCCCATCTTTGTCTCAGAACTGACCCTGCCAGGGGCTTTGGTACGTTGAAAAATTAATTGTTGTACCAACTGGTTCCTACCGAATGACCCACTCTGAGACATAACCACTCCATCATACACAATGGTTCTCATTTTTGGGTAGGTGAGCCTTGAGGGGTTTAAGCTAGGTAGGACAGATAGACATTCCTCAGGGATGATCATGTCTGTCCTGTGCAGACTCAGTAGGAGTCTAATCTGACTAAAAGCAAGCACAAAAGGAGGGCAGAGTGGCCAGGCTTCCATCATGCTTTGAGTTATCTCATGGCCCAAATTAGGATTCCATGCTTGTTAGCAAAAGCAGATCCTAGGTGCCTGTCACGCTCTGCCCTCCTCAATTGCTTATTTTCATTAATTCTTCGGCATCCACTTGCAATCTCTTGAGAACAGGGCCATCTCTTACACTACCAGGACCCACTGCCCTATTAAGTCATAGGTCTTCAGTAAATATTTGCTCTAACAGAAAGATATTGCAGACAGGGCTCATGGATGGGAGCACCGTGTGGCTTCAGTATTTTGAAGATCCACTAATAGCACCAAGTTTTAGAAGTCACTGAAAAGCACACTGCACTCCCAGCTGGCCTCAGAGAAAGAATCAGGCAGGCAGGTCAGCACCAGCTTTGGTCCTGCCGTTGACACGGAACCACATCCACCCAGCAACTCCACCATCAGGAGCTTTTGCATGCATCTTCTAGTCAATCCCTCACAAATCCATAAAGTAGAGATGGCTGTCTCTGGCTCAAACTCAAACTGAGGTTAGTGACTGTTGTAGACAATCTCTTTTCCCCACAATCCTTCCTTTACTTCCTACTTTTACCAAGGTGTCATGAGCTAATATCCCTCATATCCCAAATTCATATTTCTATCAGAAAGCATGGATAAAACACCTAAAAAACGGTACCAGGAATTTAAGCTACTTAAAACTAATTTATGAGAATGTAGAGCCTGTAAATAATAATTACTTCATCTTCCAGAGAATTTCCAAGACCCGTGGATGTTCAAAGAGTTAGTCAGCTGTGAGAAGGATCGCTTTTTCTTGTCCAAAACTTTCTAGAAAAAGGTTGGGTAATAATTTTTCTTCTCCACAAACTCCCCGAGGAAACCTATACTGGGAGAAATCTATTATTTGCCAATGAACTCCATGACAAGGCACATAAGTATCACTTAAGGATGGTCAGCATAGGAAACATCTACTAATGGAAGTCATTAGGAACCAGCAAGAGGCATATAAAACCAGCAACCAAAAATGAAAACTCAGCTCTTCAGTACGTAACCAACAGGGTTAGTGGCTGCCTTCTCAAAATGGAGCATCCTGTTCACCAAAAAATAGTAGGTTTGTTTTGTGCTTTTACACTTCCTATGACCCGGAGGACAACACACTTCCTGCAGAAATGTTGGTTCGATATGATACTAGAAAACTTTTAGACTAGCTTCCACTGACTTTGCCTTAGACATGGGAAGAGAAGTTGGGGCGTGATCCTTTGTCCAGGCACAGAAAGACCTTGGGGGAAGCAGATAACAGAGACAACCCCAGGTGTGACACCGCCAGCCACTAGCCGTGACCCTCGAACTGTTTTGATCCCTACCATCTGTATTTTCTTCTCTGCTTGCTTAGTGAAAAAGGTGAATCTACTAAACGTTTGCTGAAGGTCAGAGGAACAAGTTCAAGTCAAAGGCTACAAGGTAAACTCAGTGTAAAGGTTAGCCAGGCTTTCTTTTCTGCACAGAGCCCACGGGGGGCTGGAATGGCTGCTCCTGTGGAGGGGTCAGCTGACCTCGGCAATGCAGCACCAGACTCATCATTTTTTTCCAAGACTAGAGGAAGGGAGTCTGCTGAGACAGTTCAGTGACTAAGAGGGCTTGCTGTGCAAGCCTGAGGACCTGACTTCCAATCCTCAGTTCCCACACTGGAAAAAACAAAAACCAAAGAACAGGCATGGGTGGTGCACGTGCCTGTCACCCCAGCACTGACAATCTGATCCCGTAGGTGGATGGCCAGCCGGCCTACATCAAAGAGTGACCTTCAGCCTCAGTGAGAGACCCTGTCTCTCGCAAGTAAAGCAGAGTGAAAAGCAGGACACCTGGTAGTGTCTTCATCTTACTGTAGCTTCTACAGGTGGGCATGCGCACACACACACACACACACACACACACACACACACACACACACCAGTGAACACACATCCCACACACAAAATAAAAATAAAGTAGCTAATCTTATAAAAATCAAATACAGAAAGGTGTGGAGGCCCACGAAGGTTTCCTAGTGAGATCTGAGCTTGCTTTATCCAGCAGGGCTGCATTAGAGGATGGCTTGAATACGTGCGTGGTCACCAGGTGTTTGGAAGGGTCTGCACTTGGCTGTGCTAGGGGGCGGTCTTTTGCTTCACCCCTTGGCATTTCTATAAATAGCCCTTTAGAATCGACAGGAGGGGCCAGTGGATAAGGATCCAGGCCCTCCCGAGGCTATCCTGTGTTTCTGTCTGTCTCTCTCCCCTCTATATTTCTATCTAAATCTTTTATCCCTCTCTCCTCAAGAGTACCCTGGGAGGAAAAAGTGGGAGCTGGTCTCCCACAGGAAGGGCTGCATCTGTATGCTGTGGCCCACGCCTGCAAACAAGTGCTGGGGTGGGTGAGACAGGAAGATGGCCACAAGTTTGAGGCTGTCCTGGGCTACAGCATGAGACCCTATCTCAAAGAGAAAAGCAAAACAAAACACAAACAGTACAGAAATGCACCCCTTTCAGGTGTCAGTTCAACACAGGCAGTGTAGCACAATGGTCAAGAGGGTTAAATAAAAAGAGGAGGAGGAGCCGGAAACATGGCTCAGTGGTTAAGCGCACTTGTTGCTCCAAAGGACCCAGGTTCAATTCCCAGCACCCACATGAAAGCTCACAATTGTCTGTAACGCCAGTTCCAGGAAATCTTCAGGCCTCTGTGGGCACCAGGCATGCACACATGGTGCACATACATATGCAGGCGAAACACTCATAAACATGAAACCACATGAACCTTCAAAACAAAACACCCATATAAATCTGGGGCTGGGGATATAGCCCAATGGTAACCTTTCCCTCGCCTAGCACGTGGAAGGCCTTAAGTTCAATTCCCAGCAAGGGTGGGTTGGCGGGGGAGGGGGAGATGGTGGAGGTGAACAATACAAATCTGACTTGGGTCAGGACAGGCTACTTGAAAGCATTACTGTACGGACGGAAGGGACTATTGCAAACGGCAAAAGCTAATAGTGATGTTTGCGGAGTCTCAAGGGTCAGGCCAAGAGTTTGCTTTCCTGGGAGGAGTGGGCAAGGCTAGAGAACGTGGTGTTGGGGAAAGTGGGGTGCTTAGGAGTGGCAGGATCGGCCATTGAGCAGAGGGCCTCACCAGCTATGGCCCAGCACCAAGGCATGCGGAAAATGTGAGGGAGAAAGGATCCAGGGTCTCATTTATCTTGGAGACTCCACGAGTGAGAGCCGAACAGATGAGCAAGCAGCTGGGCTTATCTTGCTTGGTTTCATGCAGCTCAGGCAACCCAAGGTACAAAGGAAAGTGGGGAGTTTCCAGAAGAAAGGGGCAGAGCTCCTTCCAGAAAGGGTGGAAGCCAGTACTTGGGCATCTATAAACATGTCTCTCTGACGTGTAGATAAAAATAAACCTTTAGAAGCCTTGTCTCCTTACACAAGGCAAATAGTCGACCACTCATAGTTAACTACTGAAACAGTCCGTGGCAGCTTGCCTGGGTCACAGTTGGTAGCAGACTCTGGTTCTCCCCATGGTCAGCCTGACCCCACAGCACTTCTCTGTCCTGTAGAACAGAGAAGAACCGAAGCCATCCAAACACACTGTCCTGTCTCCTTTTATTACATTCCAATCTTGCCCCTTTCCTGCACCGTTGATGTCTTTCCTTCGTCTCACATGGTTTTTTGCATGCTTGTCAAGGAGCCCTCTGTAAATCCCAGAAGAGACCCTGGGCCTGTGTGTGTGTGTGTGTGTGTGTGTGTGTGTGTGTGTGTGTGTGTGTGTGTGTGTCTGCCTGCCTGTCTATGTATGTATGTATGTATGTATGTATGTATGTATGTATGTATGTGTGTGTGTGTGGTCTGTCTGTCTATGTATGTATGTATCTGTGTGTGTATGTGTGTGTGGTCTGTATGTATGTATCTGTGTGTGTGTGTGTCTGCCTATCTGTCTACGTATGTATGTATATGTGTGTGTGTGTCTGCCTGCCTGTCTATGTATGTGTGTGTGTGTGTGTGTGTGTGTGTGTGTATGTATGTGTGTGAAAGAAAGTGAGAGAGAGAGAGACACCAAGGGGGGAATGAGAGGGCAGAGGGAAGTTGCAAATGCAGCTGCCAACATTTCTAAAACAGTTTCATCTTTATTTTTATCCTTTCCTGAGGCCAGCTCACAGGACAGTCACCATCGCCACCACTGCCAGCTGCCTACCATGGTGTCCCTGCCCGTGTCGGGGACTGTGTAAGTCCTGCAAG